TTATAAAGGGGAGAATTCAACAAGAGAGAAAAAAAAAAAAATTGGACAGGAATGCTAGGTTGATAAGGAGTGTTCTTCCTTCAGAATAAGTACTATATGAGCCTCTTACATTTCTCACAGGAGTTAATTTTTTTTCTTCATTTTACATATATATTAAATAGATGTAACAGCTTAAGTGGCAAGAAATATCTGAATTTCACATAGCAGCCCTGGCCCAAGGTGGGGCCTGTCAGCTTGGAGGCTCCTCTGTGCAGGCATGCTACCCTGCTCACAGAGGCGTAGAAAGAGGGAGACAAGCATCACAAGTCTGATGGGATGCCATGCAGGCATCAGAGACAAACTGTATTGGATACCTGCATATTGGCTATTGGCCAAACGCTTGGTGAGTCAGGGAACTTGGTGAGTCAGGGACCATGACTCACTTAGTCAGTCAGGGTCTTTTTGCACACACTTCCTGTGGGTAAGACTGTGTGCATTCCTCCCTGAAGTGGATTAGAGCATGCTTGAGCTGACACCCATGACTCCAGTAGACAGTCGTACAGGTGTAAGCAGAGTTGGAACCACTACTTCTTGGTAGACCTTCAGCTTTGTTACTAGGCTGATCCATTCGCATTCCATGTTTCCAGATGTTGGAATGCAATTGGCTGAAGGCAAAGCTCGCCTTAGCTATTCTGCAGTTATCTTCAGCATGTATTTACACTATTCGGGAAAGGTACACTGCCTGTAGTTTCTGTCCATTAACAATAATGGATGATTCCAAGTATAGAGTATTGGGAGCTGGATGGTGCATGGCCTCAGCTTTCATGATGTTAATGGTGAGACAGAAGTTGTTACAAATTAAAATGTGTTCATACTGGCTTGCATTTCTAACTCGGTACTAGCATTCAGAGCACAGTCAATTAGCAAAGAGAAAGTCTACCATAAGACGGCACAGGCACCTTATGGCGCACTGGTGTGGGGGCGCAAATGCACTCCTCTCCTACCGGTCACAGTGTGGCCAAGCTCCAGCAACTCCGTCCAGTCCAGCCTTCCATTCTCGTGCAAGCAGAAGGGACGGGCATATGAATCACGTCAAATCCCTGTTCCCTGTGTAGCACTCAGCGCGGCTGGCGTCCAGCAGTGGTGAAACTACTAGAGGGCCCATCGGGTGGCCCATGCATTTGGGGCCAACCAGTGGGTATTTGTCAGCAGATGTAGACCTATAACATATATAAGGCAACATATAACATATATAACAAACGCCAGCACTACATACAAACACACCCCTACATTCACACAGTCATACTCATACAAAAACATGCTACCATTCAAACATACACACACTGATCAGTAAAAATGCATGATAAATGCAACCCTGAAAGGATGGAAAATTGGTCAAATTCCAGCTGTCAAAGCATTGTTGGAGTTGTATGACAGACGGAGATCTACCTGGGCACCCTTGAGGAAGGGGCAATATAATTTTTGCACTAGGGCCCTCTCTACTTTACTTCCACAACTAGCACCTAGTGATGGGACTGGACTTCTAATATGGATCCACACATCAGAACCAGAAAGTATGCTTCCCAGGTTCCTGATTGCACAGGCCTGGTAGGGTACTCTATTATTAAGAGGGTAGATAGGGTGATCGTCTCAACCGAACAGTTTGCTGTCTCCCGGGTGCTCGAGTCCGGCATGTTGCTGACAGAGTGGAGGGATTACTGGGAGGGACTGGGGATGACCCAGCTGTCATGGTCCATATTGGTACCAATGACAAAGTCAGAGGAAAATGGAAGGTCCTAAAGAATGAGTTCACGGAACAAGTAAGTAAGCTAAAGAAAAGGACCTCCAAGGTAATATTTTCAGAAATATTACATGTGCCACACGCTACAACAGAAAGGCAGCGGGAGATTAGAGAGGTCAATGCGTGCCTGAAGTCTTGGTGCAGGAAAGAGGGTTTGGGGTTTTTGGAGCCCTGGCAGATTTTGCGCTTGGGTACAATCTTTATAGCCTTGATGGATTGCACCTAAACGGAAGAGGGTCTGCCGTGCTGGGGGATAGGATGGCTAGATGGTTGGAAGAGATTTTAAACTAGTCGTAGGGGGGAGGGTCAAAGCAATCTAGAAAATGGACATAGGATAGAAAGGATATGGGCTTTAGGGGGGTGAGGGGGGCAGGCTCATAACAGAGGAAGTATGTAATATTGATAACAATTCACAAAAAGTACAAATGACTCATGATAATATTAAATGTATGCTTACTAATGCAAGGTGCTTATATAACAAAATGGGGAACTAGAGGCAATAGTATACACTAAATATGACATAATAGGCATAACAGAAACATGGTGGGATGAGACACATGACTAGGCAGTTAACTTAAATGGGTACATGTTATTTAGGAAGGATAGGAAAAACAGGAAGGGTGGTGAGGTATGTTTGTATGTCAACCATGAGTTAAAGTCAAATCTTAGGCATGTGGAGTGTGACAGGGAAAATGTGGAAGCTTTAAGGGTAGATATCTGCTTGGGGCAAACGAAGGGAAATCAATTTGTAGTTTGCATATGTTATAAACCAGCTAATGTAAATATTAATGAGGAAGAACAGCTGCTAGAGCAAATTTGGAAAGCTGAAAATCTGGGTAACGTTAATTATTGGAGATTTTAATTACCCGGACATAAATTGGGATAGAGTGACTGGTACTTCAGCAAGGGGAATCAGGTTTTGGAATGTGTTAACTGACCATGTCACAACTGTTACAAGCACCAACTAGAAAGGACACTTGTCTGGATCTCGTCATAACAAACAATGTTGATCTTTTGACCAACATTCAAGTAGGGAAGCATTTGGGAAGTAGTGATCACAATATGGTAATTTTTTAAATAAACAAAAAAAAAGCAAAATCACGTGGGGTATACTAAAACGGATTATTTAGGGCAGCTCTACAACATATCGACTGGCATAAACTCCCTAGTGAATAAAACACTGAGGATAAATGGAAACTATTCAAACAAATATTAGAAAGGTACATTTCTCAGTATGTAACGCTGGATAATAAATATAAAAGAAACAAATTGAAAACAATGTGGCTTAGTAGAGATGTAAAACAAGAGATTCAAAATAAGAAAGGGGCATTTAAAGCATTTAAATCTGACAATAAGAGGCATCCAATATAAGATATAAGGAAGCCAATAATACTTGCAAAAAGGCAATTAAAGTGGCTAAACTAGAAAATTTGAAATTGATAGCCAAAGAATGCAAAACCAACCCCCAAAGTTTTTTTCAAGTACATCAAATCTAAAAATAAAAATAAAAAAAATGAAAGTGTAGGTACACTGGAAACAGAGATGGGTCTGTTAGTTAATGATGACCAGGAAAAGGCAGACATTTTAAATAACTATTTTTCTTCAGTATATATTAATGAGGATCCTATGGCAAGAGATATGCAAATGATTGCTGCAAAAAACTTGCAGATAACTTGTAATTGGATGCCTCGAGACAAGGTGCTACAGCAGTTAAAGAAAATTAATGTAAATAAAGCTCCGGGGTCTGACAGTATTCACCCACGAGCACTTAAGGAGCTAAGTGGGGAAATAGGTGAACCTCTACATTTAATCTTTCAAGATTCTTTTGTTTCAGGTATTGTACCGGAGGATTGGAGGAAGGCAGATGTCATTCCTATATTTAATAAGGGTTCAAAATCCTTGCCTGGAAATTATAGATCTGTGAGCTTAACTTCTGTGACTGGGAAAATATTTGAAGGGCCATTAAGGGATAATATTCAGGAATTCATTGGGAAAAACTTTGTTATTAGCAATAAATCAGCATGGTTTTATGAAACATAGGTCATGTCAAACTAACTTATTGCATTCTACAAAGAAATAAGTTGAAGTATAGACCACGGTGTTGCAGTGGATGTGATCTACTTGGATTTTGCCAAGGCATTTGATATGGTTCCTCACAATAGGTTAGTCTTCAAACTAAAAGAAATTGGTTTAGATGAATATTCAATGTTCTTTGGTAGAACATTGGCTTAAAGATAGAGTACAATGAGTTGCCATTAATGGTAAATTTTCAAGTTGGACAAAAGAGGTAAGTGTCGTCCCTCAGGGTTCTGTTTTGGGACCGGTTCTATATATAAATGATCTTGCAATAGGCATTGAAAGCCATGTTTTAGTGTTTGCAGATGACACAAAACTTTGTAAAGTAATAAAATGTGAGCAAGGTATTGCTTTGCTGCAGAGGGATTTAGATAGGTTGTCAGACTGGGCACTAAAATGGCAGATGATATTTAATGTAGAGAAATGCAAAGTTATGCACTTTGGGGTCAAGAATGCACACGCAACTTACACTCTAAATGGTAGTGAATTAGGGATAACCACACATGAGAAGTATTTGGAAGGAATTGTTATAGACAACAAATTAGGCAGCAATATGCAATGTCAATCTGCAATTGCTAAGGCTAGTAAGGTTTTGTCATGTATAAATAGAGGCATAAATTCTAGGGATGAAAATATAATTTTGCCTCTTAATAAATATACTGTGCCATTTTGGGCACCTGTTCTAAAGAAGGATATTATGGCACTAGAAAAAGTGCAGAGACGAGCTATAAAATTTATAAAAGGAATGGAGTATTTTAGTTCCGAAGAAAGGTTAAAAAAAATTAAATCTCTTTAGTTTGGAAAAACGACGCCTTAAAGGGGATATGATAACAGTATACGAATATATTCATGGCCAGTACAAACCATTGTCTGGAAATCTATTCATAAACAGGGCTATACACAGGACCCAAGGTCACGCATTTAGGCTGGAAGAAAGGAAATTTAATCTAAGGCAAAGAAAAGTTTTTTTACATAAGGATATAAGGATGTGGAATTCTCTACCTGAAGAGGTGGTTTTATCAGAGTCCATACAGATGTTTAAACAGACATTGGATAAATACTTCCAAAAACATAACATACAGGTAGTGATGTCCCGAACTGTTCGCCGAACGGTTCGCGAACGGTTCGACACGGACTCCAGTCAGCAGACACATTCCAGCCAATCAGCAGCAGACCCTCCCTCCCAGACCCTCCCACCTCCTGGACAGCATCCATTTTGAAGCTGCATTCTTAGTGAGCTGTCCAGGAGGTGGGAGGGTCTGGGAGGGAGGGTCTGCTGCTGATTGGCTGGAATATGTCTGCTGACTGGAGTCCGTGGCGAACCGTTCGTGGCGCACCGTGGCGAACCGTTCGGCGATCAGTTCGGGACATCACTACATACAGGGATATAATTTCTAATTAGTGGGGTAATAGCTGCTTGATCCAAAGAGATATCATTTTGGGGTCAAGAAGGATTTTCCCCCTAGTTTATTGCAAAATTGGAAGCGCTATAGACTGGGTTTTTTGTCTTCTTTTGTATCAACAGGAAAAACATATGTGAGGAAGGCTGAACTTGATGGACACATGTCTCTTTTCAGCTATGTTACTATGTAATTATGTAATGGTGGGCTACAATTCTCCCACACTCCAAGACCCAACAAATGTAAGGAGGTGGTGTAGGCATCCTTCTCTCCCCTCAATGTACCTTTCAACCAATGTTCTCTGCCCTATCTTTTCCTTCCTTTGAAGTTCAAACTGTCCACCTATTTAAAACCACTCCTTTAAGAATTGCCATAATTTATCGCCAGTCAACCTAGGCTATTCATTAAACACCATTCTTCCTGGCTATCCCATTTCCTCTCCTCTAGCACTCCTTCCCTCAATCTTTGGGACTTTAATATTCCAAACAACAAACCCAACTACCCTGATGCCTGTCACCTGCTTTCTATAACCGCCTCTTTTGGACTCACACAGTGGTCCAATTCAGTCTAACTCATACAGCAGGAAACACTCTTAACCTCATCTTCACCAATCTCTGTACCACTTCTAATCTCTCCAGTGTTCCATTTCTTCTGTCAGACTACCATCTGCTGTCCATTGACATCGGTATACCACGTAACCTAATTACACCACCCTCACCACATCAGTCTCGCAGAAACCTCCAGTGTCTTGACCTACTGCAATTTTCCACCAACCTCCAAAGTCTCCTTTCACCCATCTCAAACCTCACCTACCCTAACACTGCAACCTCCCTCTTCAACTCTACTCTCTCCTCTCAACAAGACATCATGGCATCTACTATACTTAAACACAGCAAGTGCCACCAATTACAACCCTGGCACACCAAGCTGACCCGATACCTCCCAAAAATGTTCCATAACTCACCCTGCATCTGACTTCCTCCACTTTAAATTGATGCTGTGCTCCTACAGTCTGGCTCTTTCCTCTTCAAAAGAAAACTACTTCAATTCACTCATAACCACACTCTCCCGCAAGCCTAAGCGACTGTTTCATGCTTTTAACTCTCTTATTTGCCCTGTTGTGCCTCCTCCTCCTACCAACTTGACCACCACAATCTTTGCAACTTACTTCACTGAGAAGATCTCTACAATCAGGAAAGAGATCTCTAATCTCTCCATCCCCTACCAACGTTTCCCCTAACCGCACTCCCTCAGCTGTCCTATGCTCATTTGCACCTGCTACAGCATAAGAGGTTTCTGCTCTGCTCCGTTCCTCCCACCCCACCACCACCTCGATCCTATTCCCTAATTTTCATCTGCACTTTGTCTCCTTCTCTTGCTCTGCCTCTCACTAAAATTTTCAATATCTCCCTCTCCTCTGGCACATTTCCACGACCCTTTAAACATGCAACCGTTACCCCGATTCTGAAAAAGCCCAAGCTTGACCCTAATTCCCCATCCAACTACCGCCCTATCTCACTATTGCCGTTTGCCTCCAAGATCCTTGAGAGAGTTGTGGATGCGATATTGACAGACTTCCTCGAATCCAACTCTCTGCTTGACCCACTTCAATCTAAATTCCGTGCTCATCACTCTGTTGAAACAGCTGTGATCAAAGTATCCAATGATCTTATCACTGCAAAATCCCATGGCCACTACTCTATCCTAATTCTCCTCAACCTTTCTGCTGCTTTTGACACTGTTGATCATCAACAGCTTCTTTTCATCCTCTGCAATCTTGGTCTATGAGATACCGCTCTCTCCTGGTGCTCTTCCTACCTCTCCCAACGTTCTTTCAGTGTTTCTTTCTCTGGCTCTGCCTCTACTCCCCAATCCATCTCTGTTGGTGTTCCCCAAGGGTCTGTCCTTGGTCCCCTATTGTTCTCAATCTTCACTGCCTCCCTTGGTAAACTCATCAGCTCCTTCGGCTTACAATATCACTCTATGTGGATGACACGCAAACTTCTGATTTTCCCTCCCTCAAGTGTTGATACTCCATTGTCTGTTTCCATTCAAGTAAATGGCACTACTGTCCACTCTGCCTCACAGGATTGCTGCCTAGGTGTTCTCTTTAAATCAAACCTCTCCTTCACCACTCATGTTCAATCAATCACTAAATCATGCCACTGTCCTTGACTACTGTTATCTCCTTCTCAGTGTCTTACGTCTTCCCAACTTGCTCCGTTAGAGTCTATAATGAATGCGGAGGCGAGGCTCATCTTCCTGTTTGGCTGCACCTCCTATGCCTCTCCCTGGAGAATTCTGTGCCTACAGGTGCTCATGATGTAAATGCAGACCTGATTGAAGCATAAATATTGTTGGCAGTGGTGAGTTTGAAGAACAATATTTTTTATTCAGACCTCAGTTCCATGATAACAGACTCCTCATTCTACGTGTGTAGAATAGTGATGTCGCGAACCCGAAATTTTCGGTTCGCGAACGGCGAACGCGAACTTCCGCAAATGTTCGCGAACCGGCGAACCGCCCGAAACGCCATTGACTTCAATGGGGAGGCGAATTTTAAAACACACAGGGACTCTTTCTGGCCACAATAGGGATGGAAAAGTTGTTTCAAGGGGACTAACACCTGACTGTGGCATGCCGGAGGGGGATCCATGGCAAAACTCCCATGGAAAATTACACAGTTGATACAGAGTCTGGTTTTAATCCATAAAGGGCAGAAATCACCTAACATTCCTAAATCACAATCAATATGGATTGACACCTGACATATGACATATTGACACCTTGACATATGGATTGACACCTGTCCTCAGAGTCCCTGATGCACACGGACACAGAGCAGAATAGAGACTGGTCCCCCTACATAGGGTCACTTGGCAAATATGGATTGACACCTGTCCTAAGGATCCCTGATACACACTGACAGAGCAGAATAGGGACTGTTCCCCCTACATCGGGTCACTTGGCAGATATGGATTGACACCTGTCCTAAGGTTCCCTGATACACACTGACACAGAGCAGAATAGGGACTGGTCCCCCTACATCGGGTCACTTGGCAGATATGGATTGACACCTTGTTACAAAATGCTATTTGTAACGGGCCCTTTAAATGGCAAATTGCCCTGCTTCCCTGGGTTGTGGAGAAGCCTACTTGCCAGCCTCCTCCCGCATGACTATGGCCCCTGGGAGATTGTGAAATGTATGCACTTTTATTTGGTGTGTATGGCCCTTTAAGACTGTCGGTGGGCATATTGGGGCTTATGGACTCTTTATGTGACTGGTGCTGGCCCTTTTAAACACCTTTTTTGGGACATCAGGAAGATTGGGACACTGCCCCTTTAAGGCCGTGTCCCCAGCCTTGTTGGGGACACTGCCCCTTTAAGACGGTGTCCCCTGTGTCCCCAGACCTGGTGCAAACCCTTTGTGCCTGCCTGGCTATTTCCCACTTGGTTCAGTAAATGGGAAATTATTTCAGCTGCAGAGACTAAGTCCCATTCAGCGATGGGACTTAGTCTTTTTTTCAGCCGTTTTTTCAGCCTTATTTCAGCTGCAGAGACTAAGTCCCATTCGCGATGGGACTTAGTCGTTTTTTCAGCCTGAAATAGACCGACCTCACAGCCCAAATCTATGGAACTGTTTTGGGCAGGAAAATGTGCTTGCGGTCGGTCATAAAGGGACCTCCAGCTAACTTTTTAACCCCTGGATGGATTTGGTTGATTTTTGGTTATGTTTATGTTTTAAGTGTGCTGATTCCAAATATGTAATTAAGAAGATGGGATGTGTAGTTTTAAAGTTACAGGGTATGGCTAAAAACTGTATTTTTACTGCCTGTGTTTAATTATGTTAATCTCTTCCCAAACGTCATTTCGTTCAAAGTGGAGAGAATGTTAAAAATATATTTTTGTTCGGAGTGTGAGAAATGCTTTTCAGCCGCTTCTAATCTTAAGCATCATTTGAGGAGCC